TGTATATTTGTTGCCCATGGTGTTATATTTAATTTGCTTTACAAATCTGTGTCGATTGTTATCTTAGATTTTTGCTCTGCGCTCGGGGTTTGGGTTGTTATATATATACTTCTAAAATCTTTATCTAGGATGATTATCTGTTAGTTTATGGATTCTATAGATATATTTAGAGCTAACAATCTTTATAGGTGTCGAAGCTTAATGCTATCGTGTTGGTTGTGTCGGTTGAGAGATCATCAATACAAGTAATATGGATGTCTGATGTATTGTTGAGGTTGGCTGAGAGATCTTCGCTGAGATGATATAGTAGTTGTCTCTACTCTGGGTTAGAAATAACTTAGGGAGTGAGCGATGCTAGATGACTCTGAGGAGTATTGTAGGTTGGGTATAATTGGTCGATAAGTTTAAGTTTGTAAGAAGCAGATTATATACATGCTTGATAAGTTTTTTCTCTCTAGAGAATGAATTCATTTTTGTTCATATTTACTTTTATGTTTTTATGTTTTACCAATTCAATCCAAATTTATTAATGAGAGATTTGTTGAACGACATTTCAGTTCATCAATCTTTGTGGATACGATACGATATAATCTATATCACCCGATAAAAATAATACTTTACTTTTTACTTGCCGCTCTACAGCAGCAACATCAACATATGGTTTGGGATTCAAGGGGATAAGTGACTTAACCACCAACTTATTGGGCAAGCAATTCTAGAGATTGGTGCAGGGTGACGACTCTTTGTTTGAGAGATTTTTCAAGAGACGTTATTATCCTAGATGCCACATTACAAAGGCGGTAGTGGGTTTTAAACCCAGCTATGTGTGGCATAACATTCTCAGTGATAAGGATGTTGTGAATCAAGGATCACGTTGGAGAGTTGGAGATGGAGAGAGTGTCAAAATATGGAAAGACAATTTGATACCTTCACTTCCAGGTTTCAAACCTCTCGATGTCAACCCTCTGATGGATGCTGATGCGAAAGTTAGCTCCTTGATTGACAAGGAATTGAGTATGTGGAATATGGATGCTCTTAATGAATCCTTTATGGGTGGAGAAACAACTCATATAGCCAGCATTCCCCTTTCAAACAGGTTCCCGGAAGACAAGCTAATCTGGAACTTTGAGAAAGACGGGGAATTTTCGGCCATGACTGCTTATCACATGCTCAATAGTCGCAGCCAATGTCTTAAACCTAGGCCATCACATAAGGCGGATGATAACCTCTGGAAGAACTTATGGAAAGCGCTAATCCTCAAAAGAATAAATAATTTCATCTGGAGACTCACCAAGAACATACTGCTGACCAAGTGCAACTTGTCCAAAAAAGGTATTAATCTGGATGTTTCCTGTCCTTTTTGTCATCTTTCCCTCGAGAATTCTCTTCACCTATTTTTGCAATGTGATTTTTGTCAAGAAGGTTTTCTTTTCCGCCCCGTTAAGGGTTTGGGTACCCTTGTCCAAAGGTATAAATGAGTGGCTGTTTAACTTGTTTAAGAATAGGGATTGTTTGCTTAGCCGAGTGGTATAAAATGGAATGTGGAAAATTTGGCAAGCAAGTTAATGTGGCACATGACATTTGGGACTCTTGTTGTGAATTTAATAGGATTTGAAAACCTGGTCCCTGTCAAGAAGATGTTGCACAATTGGTGAATCTTTATAATGGCCCTTAGCTTGTTCAATTCGATGCTGGTTGCTTTAAGGATGAAGTTGTTTCCTTGGGTTGTGTCATCAAAACCCCCAATGCTGATGTTTTTGTGGCTGCCTACAAGAGGCTCCCGAGTGTTGATAATGTTTACACATCAGAACTTCAAGCAATCGAGTGGACATTGTATCTGGCTAAGGAGTTGAAGTTAATTGATGTTGTTTTCCAATCGGATGCTTTGGTTCTGGTTAATTATATTATAGGCAATGATTTTTTGGCAGCTTTGGAACCACTTATTTGTGATTGTAACGCCATGCTAAGTAGTTTTAATTCTGCTACAATTATGTACATTAAAAGAAACATGAATTCTGATGTCCACCATTTGGTGGGGCTAGGAAAGAGGCTAGGGTCTAGGACCTGGTCTGGTTTTATCCCTCGTTTTGAGGATGTTGTTGTTGCTTTGGCTGTTCCAGCCTTTTCTTAATATATCAGTATGTTTTCCATAAAAAAGACCATTACTCAAATGTATTGCTTCTATTGGGTATATATTTATAAGAGTAGTTCTTTCTTAGCTGGTGCTAGAATCATCTAGTAATATTAAAACTTAGAGATGAACTATTCAAAAACCAAAAGCATCAAAACATAACAAGAAAATATACAAAATTTAAAAAATAATTTATTTACCATTTAACAAAACGGAAAATGAAAACGAAGTAAGTTGGGATCATTTCTCAGTCTATGTGTTTGCATAATGGAACTGGTGATGGTGGACGGGTCATGCGCAAGAGGAAGAAGAATATAATTGAGAGATGTGGAATTTGAAGAGTTGATGAGACATTGATACACGTGAAATTAGGTTTTGAGTGACATTTATTTTGGTCCCTCGCAAAAATTATAGATCTCAAATTAATCTTTCACAAAAAAAAAATCGATTTAATTCTTTATAAAATTTAATCAGGTCATATTAGTCATCTTGGTGGAAACAAGGCTTGGACAGTGAATCGTCTCTCTGTACCACGAAATTAGATTAGTCGGTTCACTATGTGGATCAGAACTAGTTGACTAAACCAAAAATAATATTTTTCTCAAATTGGTTTTTTATTCTACTTTTAAATATCGTCACATTTTATTTTTAAATAATTCAGAATTGAAAATATAAAAAAAAATATTAGGTCATAGAAGAAATTGAACCCAAAACTTTTAAACCACATCTTATGTCTTTACCACTAATTCAATGTACATTGATGACAAATAATTCTTATGATTTATAATAATATTAAACAATTCTGAATTTAAAATTAAAAAAAATAATTATACATATAGATCACGAATCCAAGTTCCTTCAAATTAAATGGTAATCACTTTAAACCTAATCAATTATTGTTAATATGTTTAATGATAAATACTTAATCTAATAATTCAGAATAAACATTTATTTATTTATTTCAAAAGGTTCAATTACAATCTTATTCTCTCTATTTTACTTGATTCACGAAATTGATCGTCCTATTTTAAATTTAAATAGTTTTGGTATGTCTATTTTAAATTTAAATAATTATAGTAAAACTAACAATGTTTTTGTTTTTTAAATGACAAGTTACTTGTTAAACATGACAACTCATAGTATAAGAACTTTATAGATAAAAACATAAATTAAAATGTCATGAATTTAATATTATTCCAAATCATGAGAATTGTTTATCACAAATATAAATTGATATAGTGATAAAGTCATAGGATATGATTTAAAGGTCGTGAGTTTGATTCGTTCTAAAAACAAATTTTGTTTTTTTTTTATATTTTTAAATCTGAATTGTTTAAAAATAAATTTAAAATTTAAAATAAAAATTAATTTAATATTCATAAAATAAAAAATAAAAAATAAATTTCAAATAAAAATCTATTTAATATTCAAAAAATAAAAAGTAAAAAATAAAATTCAACGTGACAGCTTAATTACGATTTAAAAGTAATATTAATAAAAGAACTAATCCAATTAAACTATATATTTTTTTGTGTTATATAAACGTGTTGTGTGTTATATTTTTTAATTAAAAATAAGAAAATATTATATGATTTATCAATGTAATCGTGACAAGATTTATGTTCTGTTTAGTAAAACAAATTGATAGCCAGTAATTTATAATTTATAACTAATAAATTAACATAAATATTTGATAAATTAATTGTTTTATTACTTGATAGATACAAAATAACATAAAATATCATTTTAATTAATAAGATATAATAATATATTTTTGTTAAAATAATAAAAATATAAATAGAAGGAAAAATCACAAATTAAAAACTATTTGCTTAAAAATTACTTTAAAGAAATTTTGAAAAAAAATCTAAGAGCAAAAAAATTAAAAATTAAAAGTTAAACTCGAATTACCAAACATAATTATTTTCATTAATATAAACTCAAAAAACTAAAAATTAAAAATTCTTTTTTAAATCTTATGAAACATACTCTTATTTAGATTGCAGATTCATCTTTTAGACTTGGCTCATACAAGGAATTTTGGGAAAGTCTTAAATCTTGATTAGAAATGTTTCCCAGATTATACAGCAAATCGAAATGGCAATATTGGTAGCATGTGGAGTTGGTCAGAAGGCGTAAGAAAGTTGTCCTTGAATTGACGCAAAGACTTGGGAAGAGGAATTCAAGATTGACCTCCAGGAAATTTATTCAACAATTTAAATCTAGAGATGATAGTACATTTAGTACATTTGATGTACTCTCTCCGCTTTTAAAAAAAAATAATATATATATATATATATATATATATATATATATATATATATATATATATATATATATATATATATATATATATATATATATATATATATATATATATATATATATATATATATATATATAGTTATTTTAAAATTCTAGCTATGATATTAGAAATGAACTTTCCTCGTAGTATCATGATTCCAATAACAAGTACTACTATCATTAGGGAAATATTTTTATGTCACCTAACATTTAAGTTCAATAAATTGCTACAATAAATAAACCCTTAATTCTACTTCTTCTTTTATAACTAAAACCCTTAAACACTCAACCATTCTTCAGCATCTTATTAAGCAAGGTACAAAAGCTAGCAAGCAAAATAAAGCACCAGGAATAGAATCAGATACCAATATATAGTAATCAATTATTTTTGTATATATGATATGATTTTCTAGGAACCACACCACTTGCACCTTCCTTTGTGTTTCCTTTTTTACTTATTATTTCTTGTGATCGTTATAAAAAATTACATCACAATTTACATTTATATATACATGCAATCTTTCTATATGTAAGGAAAAAAAACCTAGTTATTTGAATTGATGCTATGGGAAATTTGTTAGGTAAAAATAAAAAGCATGAGTCTCAGCAAAACCATTCTTCAAGGAATGATAAAGAAAAAGGTGGAAGAATCTCTTCTTCTAATTTTCAAACTCAAAATCAAAAACCTATCTCATTACCACTTCCACCACCACAAGTTGCTTCTTCAATGTCTAAAATATCAAGTTTTGGTAAACAGGATTCTGGACAAAGCTCAAAAACCATGAAACCTACCAAGAAATATGCTTTGATTCCAGATAATTTCACTACTCTTGAACAGGTATGTTTTTCTCTAATACTAATTACTTTTTCTTAATAGAAAATGTTAGTGATTAATTATGTGTAACATTTTATTTATTTTATGGCCAAAAAGAATATATCATAATTTATTTGAGAGATTTTATCCTCTTATGTTTTTTTTGTTAAGAACTTTCTTTGTAAAATTTAAATATTACCTTCTCTTTGTTGAAAATTTTTAGTGATTATTACCACTTTGTAAAAAAAAAAATAGGGACAGCCAACAAGTTTCATGATTGTAAACTCTTGAATGAAATTGTAAAAAAGAATACTCTTGATGAAATTGTTTGTTAATGGAAGTAATAACTAATTAATGAATCACTCTAATTTGAACCATATAGACCACTAATTAAATTGTTCCTTTTTAAATAAAGGGAAAAGGAATATTAAAAGTATGGTGAACCATATTACTTTTTCCTTAATTAGAGTTAACAACTTTTTTAAAGGACATTATATATTAAGAACCTATGTTGTATAGGGGGGATTTGGTAAACTTGATTACCAAACCATTCAAATTGGTTAAGATATTTGATTTGATTTGTATTTTTTAATTATTTTTTAAAGAGAAACAATTCAAATGTTGTGAGAAATTCTATTTTTATTATGAATTTAATAGAAATAATATTTTGTAGGTTATTGCGGCCCTTAGGAAAGAAGGTTTAGAGTCATCAAATCTCATCCTTGGAATTGATTTCACAAAGAGTAATGAATGGACTGGTAAGTTCTACCATACAAACAAATAAGTGATTCCATCAATAATCCATTATCCATGCCATGCAACTTATATGTAAAAAGCCATGATTAAGATCTAAAGTTTGTTATATATGGTTAGGTTCGATTTTGATCGTTATTTTAAAAGTTAATCTAAACATTTAGTTGACTCGAGAGATTAATCTCTGCAATTGCGTATAGAGGATACTTGATTTATATAAAAAAAAAAACATCTAAATTATGATTCAACGGCCTTACTAAACCTCGAATTGAGATAACATTGCAATTGAATATCTCAAATTAATAATAGAACTGCAAACAATAGACAATGCGACAATGCAACAATGTCGGTTGATGGCTTAACCAGTTGAACTTTTCAGTTCGGTTTTTAAAACGTTGGTTATAATTTCTTTATGAAGCCAATGAATCCAAATTTGTTTTTGAAGGTAAAGTCTCATTCAATAATAGAAGCCTACATGCAATTGGAGAAACACCTAACCCCTATGAGAAGGCCATAACAATTATTGGCAAGACTTTGGCTCCCTTTGATGATGATAACTTGATTCCATGCTTTGGTTTTGGTGATGGTAATGTCTCTATTCCTTAAACTATAACATGTAAAAGTGATTTGATTAATAGCTTTTCCAATTCAATTATACAGCTACTACACATGATCAACAAGTATTCAGCTTTCATAGTGATCATTCCCCTTGCCATGGCTTTGAGGAAGTTTTGGATTGCTACAAAAAAGTTGTTCCAAACTTGAAACTCTCAGGACCAACTTCTTATGCTCCTGTGGTTGAGGCTGCAATAGACATAGTTGAGAAAAGTCATGGCCAATTTCATGTCTTGGTTATCATTGCAGATGGCCAAGTATGTATAACCTCTGTAACACCGACACCTTTAGAAAAATACCTGTCAGAGAAATTGACATGACACTGACACTTGTGATTATGTTTCTCAGATCACTGATAAGAAATTTTTGTTTCATTTTAAGGTTACAAGAAGTGTAGATACTGATGATTATGAATTAAGTCCTCAAGAAGAGAAGACAATCAAAGCAATTGCTAATGCAAGGTAGATAATTTGATGGACTGCATAATTTCAAAACAGATTTACCTGATGATTAATCTATGTTCATTCTTTGTTTATGATACAGTGCATATCCGCTTGCTATAGTTCTGGTTGGAGTTGGCGATGGACCTTGGGAAGACATGCAAAAGTTCGACGACAAGATTCCAGCTCGCGATTTTGATAACTTTCAGGTATGACATTGCAATATCACACCATACAAAATGTGCATCATAAGTCATAATCCACTTGAATTCGCATCTGGTCAGGTGTTCTCTACTTTATATATTCAACTCTCTTCGGTGAAACGTCAAATATTGAATAATCTAACGGATAACGTCTCTAGTCGTTAAATGAATCTAACTACATACATTTGACTGAAGAAAATTGTAAGATTCTTTGTTTATCAATTGGTCAAATAATTTGTCCGTTTTGTACAGTTCGTTAATTTCACGAAGATTATGTCTAAAAACACAAGCCCTGCCGAGAAAGAAGCAACTTTTGCTCTAGCAGCTCTCATGGAGATCCCTTTCCAATACAAAGCATGCATCGAATTTCGAAAACTTGGGTATGATCCTTAAATATTTGCCTAAGATTTTTTTTAATAAGTCTTATGCTAATCATTTGCACTAGAATTTCACACATCTTTTTTTTATACGTACGCATTCTTACGCGACATCTTTATGTTTTATTCTTCTCTTTGCATATACATGGATAACAGACGCGTCACAGGAAGAGCAAAGAGAATAGTTCCAAAAGCTCCTCCTGTTATTTATTCTCGTCCTGCACCGACCATTTCGACAGCACCACCCATCTCGACAGCACCACCACCACCCATCTTGACAGCACCACCACCACCAACAACAACAGATGAACAAAATCAATTTGCTTGTCCTGTTTGTCTGACTGAAGGAAGAGATTTGGCGTTTGGATGCGGGCACATGACTTGCAGAGATTGTGCATCAAAGTTAAGTCATTGTCCAATATGTAGAGTCAGGATCACTAGTCGTCTTAGAGTATACAGTGGCTGATGATGTTGCTCTATAGAGCTTAAAAACTCGACATGGATTTCTTGTAAATTAACATAATTAGTTTCGTAGATGTTGAAAAGTGTATATGAGTTTCTGTAAGTTTGAACTCCCTCCACTTCTAATTGACTTTTTTTAATTCCAAGAAACAGTTAATTTATATTTCTAATTTTTCCTTTAAAAGTAACATTTCAGGTACAAAAAAGTTAATAAAAATTATAATGAACCACAATGATATCATAAATCATGCTGCTAACATTTTGCAGAAAATCTTATATCAAAATGCAATTCATATCTTCATTTCTGAATTCAGTAAATCTGTCAATATTCAGTGACGGTACAATTTCCTAGATTACATGTAAGTATTTCTAAACTACTATACAGCTTCTTAGGTTACAACACTTTTATTGGACAAATTCTTGAACCGGATTAATCTTCTTCAAAATCATGACAACCCAGAACACAAATTAACCTATAAAGAATTTACACTCCACTGTGCAAATGAATATCGGAACCCCTTCACCTTCGAGCGAAGTATCTTCCATGATCAGAATAAGGATGTTAGTAGTTGATTGGCCTACTATAAAATCGAAACAAACTATCAACAGAGCAGTGTTATACAACAAGAAACTAGTTCTTTTCTTCGACAGAGAAGTTCTCTTCAAGCTGCTTTTGCCAAAAGAAATTTGCTTCCTCTATCCATTGGGGATTAACCAAAAACTTTTTTTCTTTCAGTGCCCACTTGGACTCCCTATTTCCAACACTGTTAGCAACTACATGTGTCACATGGGGCTCAAGTTTATTCAAACATGTAGCTCCTAGCTTCTTTGCTATCTTCTTGAGGGTTGGCAAGTCACGACGTAAAGCACGGCTTAAAACGATCACACATCCGCTTAAGATTTCACTTCGAAGTGATGACAGAACCTAGAAAACATGAATTGATTGCAAGAATTAAATCATCAGAATATCACACCAGCATGACAAATTAGCTTATATTTCCTTTAACAAAATGCAAGAACTAGAAGACAGAGCAATATCAACAAGTAACTAACTACCTGCCTCACGTCTCTGTCAACAGGATCTTCTTTATAGAAATTGTAGTGTATATGTTTGAGCACTTCGAGCATTTTGGCAAGTGCTCCATCTGCTTCACTTTCATCTATCTGCAATTCAGCAAGTGATTTGCATTTGTAGCCAAAGTGCTCACAACTTGAATTGAAAAAGAGGTATCTCCTCATCAATATCAGATTATCTTTGTGCTTCGGCCATACCTAACAAATTCATTTGCAAAACTATCATACATCACAATAAAATGAGATAACTTTAATTTTATAGATTCTCCACAATTGTAATCTACATAACTTAAATAATTCAGCCAAAACAAGTCAGGAACTAGCAGTGCACTCACGTGTTTTGTATCATCAAGGATTAGAATTGCGCTTTCTTTCTCCAACACCACGCCAAGATGTTTCTTGCGGTTTTGAGTTCCATCATCTCGAGAAATCACATTACTATTAGCATTGAAGTATTCCCTTTGCGGATCAAGCAGCTTGGCCATCTCTAATGAATAGTTCCGATCACCCAAAGTGTATATGCACATGTCAAATATTTCACTTGCTTCTTTAAGAAATGTGCGGACAAAGGGCCTCAACTTGGTAACCATTTGTATATGCTCCAATTTGAAGAGGCTACCTTTGGAGACATATATTGTTTCATCATATACAAGTTTAGGAAAGCATCAGCATATATAAAAAGTCATAAAATCCCAGAACAGTAAAGGTGAAATCAAGATTATTTTTTAAAAGAAAATACACAGATGAAGTGATGAGGAAGTATATAAATGAGTTTGAAATGCCCTAATTTTACTAAAATGTAAGAATTTGAGTTAGCAAGTCAATCTATTTATAAAACTATTGTCAATATGATACCCTGTTTACTATTTATAAAAAAATGCAAGAATTTTTTTAAAGAAAAAATAAAGTTACAATGAAAAATAATGGAATTTTTACGTAATAAAAACAACAAAGGTGAGGCGCATTAAGCAAAACTTCTAATAAAATATAAGGATGCCAATTACCGAAAGAAAAGGCACATTGGGTTGAGTATACCTTCTAGATAACTTTTCTGAGTTATTATAGGCATTTCTTCTTTGCTCAAACGACTAAGGGAGGTAGAATTTAGCAGCGTGTGATCTAGGTCCAGTACCAAATAAAGCTTTTGACGGCATAATAATTTTGTCATGTCGTTGCACAATCTAGAAACTTCCTCATCATGAAGTCTTAGTCCCTGATAATACGAAAAATCTCCATCGTGTTAAATAACGTGTTGCTTGGCCAAATTATGTAGAATAATTGTGTTGTGTAGATGATATGATACAACAAGAAATTCAAAGGAAAAGACAGAAGAATTGAATGAAATAGGATTATTGTGAAGTTTGTCTGAATCAATGTGACCTAAAAGACAAAATGATACAATAGGACTAAATTTGAGAGTGCCCAATACTCTATCAAGAATGATACAATAAGGCTAAATTCTAGAGAGTCCCAATTCTAACTTATAACAATGACAGCCTCTTCTATTCACTCTCCCTCCGGTTTATTACAGCTATTAGTTGTTAGTTATAGCTTCCAACTCATCAACTAGTAGTTGCATTACCCTCTCTAGAGCTAATCTCTTTAGCTATTCAACACCAAACCGTTATTCCTAACTCTCAGAAAGAAAACACTACATGGCTCAAATACTCCATCTGCCTTGCTTCAAATTCACACTCCTGTTGGTTGCCTACAAAATTATTCTCCCTCAATAGTAACAGCACCTTGCTCAAGTGGTCTTAGAAGATTTAAAAATATCATCATGGAAATAGCAAGTTAATGATTATTTTGTTAATTGTTAGAGATTCGATTTTAAAGATTTGAACCCAGAAACAAATTTTATTTGAAATGCCTTTTGTGGTGTACTTCTATAGGCTCCTATGAGTAAGAGTATTGAAGTTGGCTATCCACACAAATACGTATATTTTTTTAAAACACAGGTACCAGGACAGGTACTATCATGCTCTACATTGACACTATTTATTGCCATCCTTAACCATTCAATTGTATGCTTATATGTGAGAGCTCCAGAACAATAGATAGAAATATATCCTAGATGAGTGGTGTGTTACAAGCTCACCACAATAATTGTTGGTCAAGGTTGATAATAACCATTAGACCAAATCTTTGTAGCACCGACACCTCTGAACTGAAAAAGTGCGAGTCCGTGTCGGACACCAACACCGAGATTTGTGATTATGTTCTCAATTTAGTCATTTTTTCAAATTATTATCAGTGTTGACGTGTCAGTGTTGGTGTTGTGTCCGGTGTCCGTGCTTCATAGGACCAAATATTTCAAGTTGATATGACAGTCATTTGAAAATAGACATGCGGCAACAACAACCATCCAAATCTAAGTTATTAGTACTACAAGATAATCATCAGAAACAATGTGTACCTTGTGTACGAACCCAAATGCCAAACCAGATTCCCCATCCAACGTTTTTCCACAACATATACACATGCCTCCAAATGAGCCAGGATGTATACATACATCAACATTTACAGATGGCACTGCAACAATTTAGAGACAGTCGTATGAGATTCATAATCATATTTCACAAACATGCGAAAAGATTGTGCATAGTCTAATCCGTTAGAACTTGGAAATAAATTGAAGGTATTCTTGTTATCCAATGGATAAAAAAATAGGTGGTATGAAGTGTACGGTATTGTTTCGGGGGGAGGGGGGACTGTTCAGTTAAAGCGCATACTACATATAAGAATGCACGCCAAACAAGCTTAGGTTGTACCGGCAAAATAGTTCAACAAAGCTTTAGAGGCAGATAAATTAACAGACATTATCACATGTTTTCTTAAAAATTGGTTTGGTTCACTTGCTCTAAAACAGAAGCTGTGCATGATGAATACCTTTTTGAAAATTTACATGCATATGTGGCTTGATGGATTCTCGTTCCTAGCAAAGAAAATGAAAGAAACAACTAAAATGATCGAAATTACCTAATTTCTGTTCCATGGTACCTTCTGAAGTAGACCCCTCAATTTCATCGGTGCTTTCAAACTTACGTTTTTTAGTTCTGCTTTAGTTTGTAAATTAAAGTGTAGCAGAGTGAAATTTTATTAGAAAACACGAAACAAAAAAAAACAAAGAATACATAATTGTCCCTTAGGTTGACTCAACAATACATAAATAGGCACAAAAATTAAGAACCCACCATATCTCTCCCATAGGTTGATGCTAATTCGTTCACAATCCCACAATAACAATAATCAAAATCTTTTTCTGATAGGTGGAGTGCTACATGGATCAAACAATACAAAAATGTTTTCGCACGGGTCATGTCTAAAAATAGGTCATTTGAGTTTTCCTTCACCTTTTACTATTGGACTATGCTACAAAAATGCCTCCTAGTGGTGCTTTTACGATGGAAGTGACAGAAACTTTCTCTTCAATGATTTTATTCTCGGTCCTATCACATATGGCTCTGAACTCAAGTGTTTCTAGCACATTCTAATCTATCGTAACACTCTAATCTCTATCACATTGCACTTATTTTGTTAGTGTCTCTTTACCCCAGCATTTAGTTCTTATAATTACTTGGCATAATTTTCCTTTAAACATAAATGGTTCAAAAACCCACAAACCAGAAAAGTAAGTTGTCATACAATAGTGAAGATACTTCAGCAAAACATAGATAAACACACTGTCATTTGACATTTAAGCAGTTAAGAAGAAAAGGCATTACTAGATAATATTCATTCAATAATATAGTTGATGGTCGTGCCCTAAATGTAATTAAAAGTTAAAACCTCCCACTGTTATCTTTCACGAGTTTTTGGAAACAAGAATCACTCCTAAGACATTAAAAAACAGTCAGCATGAAAATTATCAATGATAAAAGAAATCACTTGGCTGAAAGTAGCTAGTGAATGCAACTTACTGAAATATAATTGAAGTCACCCAACTACAATACTAAAAAATCTTTGTTCCTACTGAATAGGGTCAGCTAAACTGATCAATGAAATGTCATTGTGCTCTATCAAAAACCAAATTTTTAGATAAAATTCATCTATATCGGCACCACAGTACTCTATATCTAAACAATGTTTAGTCCTCTAAATTTCAATAAATTGGTAAAATCAAACTTGGCAACAGCATAACCAATACCAATAAGTATATAACATGAAATAGGTGACGGAGAGCACCTGAAACCCTCTAACTCATTTCGGCTTTCAGCTTCATCATCTGAAGATGAGTTGGATGAACTTACATCTAGTTCATCCTCAAGATATGCAATAAGGTCATCATTCTCATTACTCTCATCACTATCATCACTGTCAGATGAATCTGTCACATCACTCATCTGTATTATTGTCATCCAACAAAGTCAAATCAGGAAGTAATATCCATAAATAAAGAGACTACACAAACCACAATCAATTGTAATATAAAACAGGAGAAAAAATGACATCTACAAAGGCAAGTAAAAACAGAAAACAGGGTGGCAGCAAAGATCAAAAGCAGTGTCTCAATATAAACCCTTACCTTTGCTCTAACAGGATCTCCAAATTTCAGAGATTTCTTTTCTTTTCGCGATTCAACTTTCCTTGCTCGCACGTTCCGGTCACAAGGAATCTCAAGTTTGTAAACTCGAGAAAACAACAACTCTGTCGAAGAGTTAGATGAAACTCGCTGCATACAACAAATTGAAATGCATCAGATATACATAACAACATGTATTCACATTTTCTACATTGCTCACATCTCAAATAAAACGAAAATTCAAATAACAAGAAGCAAGATTTCAAATAAAACGTTCGCAACTACAATCACACCGCAACATCAAGATTTTTTATGTTTCTGCAAAATGCGATGGCGATTCTTTGCAATATCAAGAAATGCTCATTGAACTGAGACAAGAAACTCAATTGTTAGCAGTTATAATCGGCATTTCAACAAAGATACGCGCATACGGAAGGGCAAAAACCTGAGATAGATAAATCATGGTTCAAAATCGAAGCTTTAGAATCAGTATAAACGCAAAAGATGAACTCGCCTGAGTCTTTCCGATGAGAATTTTGGTTTTTCCGGTGAGAATGGAGAAACGGAGGTCCGGTGAGGTACTGTTACGGTGGTGCGGCAATGGCGCGGTTAGTTCAGAGGTTTAGGAGGGAAGGGTTTTGCGAGTATTTGATTTTTTGAACGTCGAGTGTTCGTTATAAAGGGTTTAAAGGAAATAGAATAAGTAGACCGGCCGGTTCAAAATAAACTCGCCGGTTCACAATATTTTCTATTTACCACTTTATCTTTTTCATATTATTTTTTATAAATGAGTTATTAGAAATTCTTATACATATAGTTTATCCACCGAATAAATGTTTATTTGTTATTGATTAATTAATTAAGTATAGAGTTTAAAAAAAAAATATTTACAATGAAAATAAGAATAATTCTAATATACTAATTTGAATTTAATTAATATAAAAACCATTCATAAAAACAATTATTCATTACTAATCAATTAATTAATTTAATTTTTTTTTTACATCTTTTATATAAAAATGAGAAATTTATAATATACTAATTTGAACCTAATATGTCTGTGTTGATGTTTGTTATCATCATGGAGTATTTTAACAGACTGTCGATCAAGATGCAAAAGGATCCTGATTTCAACCATCATACAAAGTGTGAAAAGTTGTGTATTACAAATTTATCTTTTGCAGATGATGTTCTACTGTTTGCTAGAGGTGATGTTAAATCAGTGGAGCTTATGATGGAGGTTGTAATACGGTGGGAGAACTGACTTGGGATGTTTTGCGTTTGATCGTAATTGTTGCGGTTAGCAAGAGTCGTCACTGACTTTTCTTTTATCCAAAAAGAAAGGTGGAAAAGAACAAGAAAGACCTTTGAGATTATTTCTTGAGTTCGGGGGGTAGATTATGAAAAGGGAAGGTGTTAGCATCCTTTTCATCCATAGTTATCTACGGGCTCTTAGTTGCTTGCTAGATCACTTGCTTTATTTGAAAATATGCTTTGTAGTGGTTTTTTGAAAGTATTTTGAAAATGCGCCTTCGTTTAGGCAAACTTTGTAATAGTTCTCGTTCGTAAGAACGTATACAAAGTGTTGGACTTTTTGAAAATATTTCATGTTTTGAAAGTTTATTTTTGAAAGTGTTTGGTGTTTGTTTTGAAAATGAGTAAGGATATTTGTTTTGAAAGTGAGCAAGCAACTAGGAACAATCTACCTACTCAAAAGTTTTTGTTCATTTCTTCCTTCCTTTGATATTGCTATCTTACCATTGATTTGGTAAGAAGCCTTATCTTTGGATGTAAAGGGACGAACGTGGGTCATCGTATAGTCATGATAGCAATGTTGTGAGATATCTTAGCATTTCTCTTTGAGGGACTAAGATCATTTGAAAGACAACATTTGTAGCATCGTTGAGGGACTATGATCTTGTATTTTTTATTGTGTTTGCTAAGATATCTCATATGCATAACATGACCATTTTTGTAAGGCAACAAGTGGAATTACCCTAAGGGTGCATGCGTGAATAATGTGTTTGATTTGCATGCATTGTTTATCTTGGATTAAGGTTATCTACGTATTGATTTTATCTTTCCATACAAACCCTAATTACTAGCATTTATATGAAAGCGATAAATTGCGGAAAGTAAAATTACTACGTTATTACATTATTAGGGGAGGGCTATACAAATTTACAAATGGGGATTGCAAGAAATTAAACCTAATTATCTATTACAACCATATTGAATATTGTACAAAGAATGAATAAATGTGCAAGAAAATAAATAGAAAGGAAAATGATTTTTGTTTGGATTTAATGAAAGGGTTTAGTTTTGACCTAATTAAGAAAAATGATTAATTAAAATTAAATAAAATTAAACCTAAACTAATTAAGAAAAGAAATTAAGTTAGAAAGCATTTTTAGGGTTTTTTATGAAAGAGTTTAATCTTAATGAAAATAATATGATAATTAATTAATTAAAAGAAACTTAAATTCTAAATTAATTTTAAATAAAAAAAGAAAAAATAATTAAACCTAAATCTAATTATTAATTTATTAAGAAAAAAATTAAATTTGTTAAGAAAATGTTTTTGTCTTTTGTCTTTATAAAGAAAATAAAAAAAAGTGTGAAAATAATAAATAAAAATATTTTTGGATTTTTTATTAATAAAAATAATAATAATAGTAATAAAAAATAATAAAGAAAAATAAAATAAAATAAAATAAGAAAAAAAAATTAAACTAAAATGATAAAAGAGTTTGGGCCATTATGCAAAAGTAAATGGAGGGGTGAGAAGTTAGCAAAAAACTCAAGCCCAAAGCAGTAAGCCCAACGCCTATTGATGATTCAGTGTGAAAGGCTTGCTGGAGGTGCATCATGCGGATGACACGTGGTGCGCTGGATCTGACTTGATGATGATCAAGTGATTGAGAGTTGGGGGGTGTACCATGCGCGCTATGGGCTGCTTGTATTAGATCTGTAATGAAATAATAAGAAAAAAACCAAAAGGGTACCACTGGGGCTCGAACCTAGATCCCAAAGGTTAACAGACGCGCGTTTTACCACTGGGGTGGCTATACATCCGTTTATTAATACAAAGCCATAAATATATATATTTGAGAACAAGTCAGGAGGCCAACTTCATCTTCTTCCTCGCGCCCACAATTTTGAAAATTGTAACTTCATAAATTCTCAACCATTTTCAAAGGTGTAAACATGAAACTTGTGCATTTTTCCACCACGAATCTAACCATGTAACTAACTTAAGCTAACACTCAAAGATAAGGATGAATTTATGTTAGTACCAAACTGAACACTAATTTTTCAGAAAGTTCAAATCTAAAATTCTCAATACACAGTCAATATAAATGAAAGTCGTGGACATGGTTAGCTTCAGAGCAATGATATCTACATTTCTACTTCAGAATGTATGTACAAAAGATGTTTGTATCAAGATATCACAGTTGAGAAAAACTTACCTTGAAGTGAGAATTGTGTATGGAGTTTGCGCAACCTTTGAGATGTCCTGATGATCTGTTTAGCTGGCCTGGACCTGCTTGAGTGTATTCCAACTCCTTCTTTTCTTTGAGGATGGTTGAAACTCTCAACTCAAGTCAAGTTGCAAGCTTTAGTTTTGAAAATGGTGGATAGTAATTGAGGGGTTACAGTCTTGAAACAGGGACTTGGATAACTTGTGTATGATGTATGTAAGGTGTTTGGGTGATTAGGAATCAAAACGCACGAGTGGAAATGGAGATGGTGAGTTTTGGCTCAAAACTATCAAGTTTGGGCAGATTCAAGGCAGTATGGAGTTTGGGCAGTTTTGGGAAGGCTTGAAATCGTGTCTTTGCTTGAAAATAAATTGTATAGTTATATGAAAAAGGTTATAGCACTTTTGCACAATAGATTTCTGAGTTATAGGGTTATGGTTAGATTGCTTGATTTTGAAGAAAAATGAGAAAATTAAGTTTCAAAGTTTTGTACCAGCAATATAGAGTGGTTGAATCACTTTAAACATATTGCTTTTGACCTTGTAGATGGAGTGTGACCAGAGGGAACAAGTGAGAGGCTCAAGAATTGACTTTGTGCATAAAAGCCACTTTTCCAAAATGGCAATGTTGCATTTCTTCCTAAAATGGTATTAAGCATGAACAATGTATTGAATGCTTGGATTAAAGCTTCTAACAACCGTGTAGACATTTAATTATGGAGTGAAATGAAAATTAGAAGCCTGAAAAGTGAGATTTGTACAACATGCTTGAAGATTGGATCAAGTGTTCATCACAAAATTGACTTGTAATACAAGAATGAAACTCTAACTTCATGGCTTCGGTTCTCTTAGCTCAAATATGATCTCAATGAGTTATTGGACATTTTGGAAAGCTTGTAACATCCTCTACAACCTTCATGTTGGACATTTTTGAAAATTCAAATTGGAACTAGGTGAAAAATTACCATGAAGTTAGGTCAAAATCCTGTCTAAACTAGGGCAAAATTTCACTAAGTCTTCAAGTTTCATGAGCATGTCTTCATAAAATCATAACTTGAAATATAAGCATTTCTAGGAAAAGTTATGCCCTACAATGTTTTAGATCTCATTGAGATATACAACTTTCATGTTGGAAGTTTCCCTTGAATCACCTTGCATCATGGTGGAAATTTGACTTAAAGTTATAGGAAAAAAAAACTTTTCCAACACTTAGAAAAAATTCTAAGTTTTAGAAATTTTGACTTTTCAAAATGAAATTAGACTTTTGATTTCTTGATGAACAAGTTTCATATTTTGACATGTCTTGATGAATTGTAATCTTTGAAACTTGATTTTGATCAAAAAGTCAAAGTTTGACTTTTCAGTGTACAATTAACTTTTCATCAGTTGACTGAAATTTAACTATCAATCAATTGATCTTGAGAAATGTTTTGAGCCATGCCATTAGGTCAAAATGGCGTGCTTGAATCCTTGAGATCATGTCTTGAATCAATAAGTCATTGGGTATGTCAAAAGTCAAAAACTGCATCTTCTCAGTCAAAACCCTAATTTTGACCATTTTACCCTTTTGATGATCTGATCAAATTTCTTGAGGAATTGTGATCCAAACTTGATCAATTGACATATATGAGTTCATAATGTTGATATGTACCAAAAATTATGAAGTTTGACTGTAAATTGACCGTAGTTGACTTTTTCCCCAATACAATTGATTTTAGGTCAACTGATCAATTGACTGAGCAAAAATGTGATCCAAGACTTGAAACTTGACATGAGCAATATTGAGAGTCCAAAATTATATATTAAAGTCATTTTAGGCTTTGAAAGTTCAATTATCCTTGTGAAAACTCAAACCCTAATTTTGAGTTGTTAGTGCTGAGGAGGTGTCTTGAGCTGATCAAACCTTGTATAGTCTTGAATCAATGGAGATTTTGTGAGAGATTTTTTGAGAAATGAGAGGGTAAATTTTATGGTACAACAGAGGTCCTAAACAAATTTATTTGTCTATTTGGTTGGTTGTTAACCCAAGAAAGTGCAGACTATATTTTTGAGGAGTTGATGAGAACATCAAGGAAGAGATTAAGCGGCTGATCAACTTTGAGGAAGGTTCCCTCCCTTTCAAGTATTCATTAATATATGTCCATCATGGATAAAATAGTTAGAAGGATTAGCCATTGGAGCACAAAGTTTCTTAGTTATGTGGGAAGGGTGCAACTTATTAAGAGTGTGTTTTGTGCAATTGTGAATTATTGGATACAAAGTTTTCATCTTCAAAAATGTGTAATCCACAAG